AAAATCTCAATATTTATCAACATTGTTTCAAACAAAACGAGCAAATTAATCATAAATGAATAGATAAGGGTCAGCGACTAAAATGTTAAACATTAACACAAGAAATAACTAAATCACGATTTATCTATGTTGAGCGAAAAGTATAGAGCATAAAAATGATTTCAAACAAATTATATAGCACCAAGAAAAGGAACGGACCTCAAACAAAGCAATTTTGAATCTGAAAATGCTTAACACTGGAAACCTTAGATAGCGACAACCTCGACGGAACCGCGAATCTTCCCGGAAACCTCAGATTACGACCTTCGACAAACTCGGAACTCGTCGGAAAACTCGAATTAAACCAAACCTCGCCGGAACTCGGACCTCTCGTTTCCTTCCATTTCATTTCGTTTCTCAGTTTTGGAAGTGCTGAAGGCCGAGCATAGACCAGCAATTCGTATAGATTGTGGTTCTTTATAGAGGTGCCTCGATTTTTGATAACAACACTATAGGGGATTCAAGAATTACTAAAGAAAAACAAGAAAATCAAGAAACGTGCGGAAGCTAAAAGAAAATAAAGAAACAAAAAAGGACGGAAAATTAAAGATAGATTGAATTCAAGAAAGAGTTTCTTGAATTCAAGAAGTCTATTCTCGAAGTTGAATCCTAACAACAACAATTAGCTAACAAAGAACTAATCGCCTTTGGTAGAGAATTAAAAACAAGAGATAGATTGTGAAACCCGACCCTTTAGAATAACAAGAACAACAATAAGCCTAAACTTATCACCTTTCTTGAATACCTAGAAGTGATCTAAGATTTCGAATGAGTTTAATCTTACCACCTTAAGTTGAGTCTTGAAGGTTGAAGAATAAATCCAAGAGTAGCCACACACAAGAGTGCAAGAAAAATCTCACAATTTTTATTGATAATAATCTGAATAATCTAAGTTTAAAAACAAATAAGACACCCTTTATATAGAGAGGGGGGTCACGAAATTGTACCTAAAAACAAGGAAATAAAGTCCTAAACTACTTTGGACAACAAGTCCAACTACCTTAGGAAAAGGAAAATACTAGGAAACAAAAACCAAGTCATTCTTGGAAAGTCATTCCAAAAATCTTAGAAAAAGGAAAACATAACCTTAACTAACTAGGAAAGCAATAAATATAGTCCCTTAATATATGGAAATAAGTCCCAAACCAATCTTGGATAAAATCTTAAAAATCTTGAAAATCTTGAAGGAAATTTGCAAGCAACATGGCACCAACTCGCACTCAACATCTAGCACGACTATTGTACCTTTCTTGGACATCAAGTAAGTCTTTTTTATGCTATAAAAACGTGGCTTTATGTAGGACTTCATGGGCTGCAAGTTTGGAGACATTTTAGGTGCCAAATTGGTCCAAAAGTAGATTGATTAGGACCTTCTTCAAAGGATGTCTCTTGGGATCCAATACTCCTCTTCTTGGACATAAATTTGAGTCATAAAACAATTGTAACACCTAGCTAATTCACAACCTTTATCCTTGAGCTCTTCTTCCTCCCAATTAACAACTTCTTTATTTGCACTTGAAGCCTAATGACCTTGTTTTGCAACTCTTTAGCTTGACATCTTGTTAAAGGCTCTCATTAAGATTCCAAAGCTTCATCCTTGTCCTTGAATAGATTTGAGCTTCCTAGGATGCTATCAATTTTCGTTCCTCCCCTTTCGTTTTCTTTCATTTTCATTTCATTTATGCTATCTGCAGATTGTGCTCATTCCCTTTTTTGTGTATGGCTAGTAGTCTTTTTTCTTTTCTATGAGAGAGATGGGG